GCTGGTAATGGGACAGCTCACAGCTGTCTATGGTGTTAGGATGAGGAAGAGCAAGATGAACAGGTCAGAAAGGGGCCAGCTTAGGCAGTCTTAATTCAACAAGTGTTTGCTTCTGCACCAGGCACAGTCAACCAGACGGCGCCCATAGGTTCAATGAGCTGACTGTCTAATGGGGAGACTGACAGATGCATAAAACAGGTATCTCCAGGGAGGAGGGCTTCTAGAACCTGGCATGGGAGGGCAGCTTTACCAGCATCCCCGAGAGCTGGACTAGCAAGGGACCCACAGCCCCACAGTCAGTTGACTTCATCTTAGAAATCCCCAATGTCAGGAGCCCCAGCCACAGCCGTTTCCAGGAGCTCCTTGCCAAGTTGGGGCCTGGACCTGGCCTGGGGAGGTCAGCTGTTCCACACACTGCCCTGGTGCCCAGGGACCACCCCAGCTCCAGGAGGACAGTGAGAAGCCAGCCAAGCATGAAAACCCTTCAAAGACTCTCCCACAGTCAGAGTCCACTCGTTAGGCTGGTACAAAAACCCCTCTCAACTTCACCCCAAGCTGCCTCTCAGGCCAATTTCCTGAAAATGGGAGACTCTTTTGTGCCTGGAGTGTGCTTCCCAGACCTTTCTCACCTGGGCACCCTTCCTGACAGCTTTCAACACTCAGTGCGAGCCTCCCCTTCTTGGATACCACCAATCTAACGCATTCAGAGGCCCCATCCTGTGTTCCCATGCTCCCCACTCCCCACCTCTGTGCTGACCCCTCTGATAGCACTTACCACACTGCTGGCTAGCTTTTCTGCCTCCTCACATCAAGTCTTACATTTCATCATGGCAGAGATCTTGTTCTAATCAGAATGTGTGTCCTTAGCACACAGCACACTGCTAGGCCCATGGTCAGTGTTCAGGAAGTATTTGGTAAATTAACAAATAAAAAAATGAACAAATGAAATAACCCTTTGTTTCCTCTGTTTACACACTGAGAATACCTTCTGGGTGTCTGGAGGCTAAAAAATTAAAATGTTTGCTATCAATCATTTTCAGCATAGTAAGAATAAATCACTGTGTCCCTTCTCCCAAGATTTTCCTTTCAAGTTGCTGTGGTGTGAGTGTTTGTGCTGCCTCCAAAGTTCATATCTCATAACTTAATCCCCAATGCAACAGTGTGGGGAGGTGGAGCCTTTGGGAGCCAGAGCCCTCACAAATAGATTAATGCCATGATAAAAGGGCTTGACACGGATGTTTGTTCTCTCTTGCCCATCCACCTTCCACTGTGTGAGGACACAGCAGGAGACCTCTCACCAGATGCCAGTGCCCTGATCTTGGAAATCCCAGTCTCCAGAACTGTAAGAAACCAACTTCTGTTCATTGTAAATTACTTAATCTGGCCGGGCGGGATGGCTCACACCTCTAATCCTAGCACTTTGGGAGACCAAGGTGGGCAGATCACCTGAGATCAGCAGTTCGAGACCACCCTAGCCAACATGGTGAAACCCCGTCTCTACTAAAAATTGAAAAATTAGCTGGGCATGGTGGTGCATGCCTGTAATCCCAGGTACCTGGGAGGCTGAGGCAGGAGAATTGCTGGAACCTGGGAGCCGGAAGCTGCAGTGAGCAAAGATCACACCACTGTACTCCAGCCTGGGCAAAAGAGAGAGACTCTGCCTCAAGAAAATAAAATAAAAAATGAACTATCTAGTCGCAAGTATTCTGTTATTGCAGCATTAAATGTCCTGACACAGGAATCTTCCATTTTTTCCCTTATTTTAAGAAGTTTCTAGTATCACTGAGCTGGTAGAAAAGGGCATTTGGGAAAAATCGTCCTCTCCCAGATGAAATCAATTGCAGTGTAGGTCATTCCAACGTTAGTCTATGAAGCTTATTACCCTGTGCTGACGCTGAAGCACCACCACCATCAAGCTGGCAGACCGCAAGTCCCTGAGCCATAGAAGTGGCAAACTCCAGCCCCTTGGGCCAGGAAGAAGTAATGTGAACTGGGAACAGTCAGGATTTCAAGTCGGGAGGGCTAGAGTTCCAGCAGTGGGCAATTCTCAATCTGTTTTCCGAGCCTCACTATCCTTATTTATAATAGGGAGACACCAATCAGCTGATGTAACGAGCACTGGCTGTCAGAGAGCTTGGCGTTCAGTACTCACATGGGGTGCCCACGATGCAGTACTCTCATGAGGTGCCCACCACACAGTACCCACATGGGGTGCCCACCACGCAGTACCCACATGGGGTGCCCACCACACTGTATTCTCATGGGGTGCCCACCACACAGTATCCATGTGAGGTGCCTTCCATGCAGTACCCACATGGGGTGCCCACCACACAGTATCCATGTGAGGTACCTTCCATGCAGTACCCACTTGAGGTGCTCTGCTGGCTCACCCTGCCCACTGCAGAGTGTGGCAGTGCCCACACCAGTGGCTGTCACCCAAGGACAGCTGGCCTTGTGATGGATGCCATTCTCAAACCATCTGCTGGGCCGAAGCCAGCGTGCCTGCATTCACACAGCACTCTCAAGGTCATTCACAACTCTTCACTTTCCTGGACACTGTCATTCTCCCATTTGTGAGGGAAAGAGATATTTTCCACTTCCTTTCAGTCCCCCTCCCTCCTCCCTCCTCCTTCCTAACACCCAGTCTTAGGAGAATGACTTCTCATGTTACTCTGTGTGCCCACGTTTGCTAGGCAGATGCTCCGATTGAAGTCAGATTGATCAGAAGCTAATGCTTGAGCCTGCAGTGATGGGGCAGGGGTGGTGAAGAGACCTGATAGATCCAGTGTCTCATGGAACTCACTCCAGAGCACCCACCACCACAAACAGCCCTTCCCCTGTCCCCCACTCCCAGATCGTCTCTGCTGACCCCTGGAGGGTCCAGCCATCACAGCAGAGGCCCTGGCCTCCCATGCCCATCATGCCCGATTCCAAGCTGGGAAATGCACACCGTCATGGCTTTCTGTCCTGTTGGATTCAAAAATTAGAGAATATTGCAATACATCATCTTCCAGTCTCAAAAAAAAAAAAAAAAAAATCTCTCATCCAAATCCTTCCAACCTTCCCAAACTGAACCCTTCATTCACACCACACAATGAAGGTCAATTTCAAGGTGGTAAAGTGAATTGAGTGTCAATCAGATATTGCTACATCTTAAAAAAAAAAATGCCTTCCTAAAAGTCACCTAATCTTTCCCTCTCTAGTATTGAATACAGAAAGACTTAGTAGCTCACGTGTCATCTGACTTTTTTTTCAAGGCATTGCAATTAACTCAGGAGATTTTGTTCTCCTTTTTTCCCCCCATATCAATCCAACCTAATTGGTTTGCCACTAATTACATGTTTCCTATACAGATATTTGTTCATGTCCTCACTTGTCTCAAGCTAATAAGCTTTCAAGAAACACATCATCCTTTTCAACCCAGTCATACAGTTGAGAAGTTTACAGAAATTACCTTCCTTTCTCTGTGAAGGGACTAATTGCCCTAACTCTCATGCAAGGACCCCCCTGCCTTCCTCTGTCTTGTGGTAAAAGGCTCCCTTGGGGCCAGGGGCACCCAGCGCAGCCCTCACAGCATGGCCGGGTCACGATTCCAGCTTATTAATTTGCCTGACTACTGCTCGGGAGAAGAAGAAAAAAACGGGATAAAAGCATATTCCTCAACCTCATTGAGCTGTGGGATGAAATGCCTATTTTGGAAATAATGATTCCAGGTAGGAGGGCAGTGAGGAATGGGGCTCATGAGAAGCAAGTGTTTTATTACACAATTTCTAAACTATGAGCACTTCATGCGCTTTCATTATTGTACCTTATTATAGTTCTATAAAAATCATTTCTAGGAAATCAATCCCAACGTTTCAAAGCCTTCCAAAAAGAGCTGGGATGCAGAGTTTAAAAGAAGCCCTGTAAATAGAGAAATTATACTTTGAGCTTTACATGATAAGATTTACTATGGCACTGTCCACACTCAGACCTAATCAAGCCTGAATGAGGAATGCAGTGACTGGGGATTTGTAGAGCTCCTCCCATGCCACAACTTCAAAAGACAGCAACAGTTTTGACTGTCGTATTTTCCAGGTGAGGAAACAGAGGCCCAGACAGTGTGAATGAAATTACTTTTAGTGAAAGCCAGTGAGGCAGCGATGAATCCATTTCTATTTACAGCTCTGCCATTTTTCCACCTGGTACATAGCCGGTTTGGGAGCATCTCCACTCCACCCTGCTCCATCTCTGGAATTTCCACTCCCTTCTTTGGAATCCAGGTTTTCGTTCCAGGGAGTGCATTAACTTGCTGGATAATTTGCTGATCACACTGGTACAGAAACCACTGAGGGGCTTTAGACGCCTACTGTCTCTGGAGACAACGGAGTCAAGGGAAACCCCATGGCCTAACCACAGCCCTAGGAATACTCCCAATGCCTAAGAAAATCCATTCAATCCATCTGGGCTTCAAAATGTCACCAAACTGAAGAAAAGCCCGTGGAGTAAGCCCTTAAGTCCATGCTGAATGGTGATGATGCCTTCATAGCTACAAGCATTTCACGTACCTCTCCTCACTTTACCTTCATAAAACGTTCATAAAAAGGATACTTCTAGCAAAGCACTTCTCAAACTCTAATGTGAACAGGCATCCCCTGGAGATTTGTTAAAACACAGATTCTGACTCATTAAGTCTGAAGGGGTGGTGGGTGGAGGAGACTGAGGCGCCACATATCTAAAAAGCTTCCAGGTGTTGTCGATTCTGCTGCTCTGAGGACCATACTTGGAATAGCAAAGGCTTAGGGCACAATTTGGAAACACAGTTCTATGGATTGAAAAGACAGTAGCAATGAGTAGCTCACCAGCCTGGGCTCAAGTGGACTATTAACCAGATGAAGACATTTCCACATTACTGTTTTATTAACGCCTGACAGGACTGAAGAGCTATACCACACAGGGGAAAGACTCCTGGAACGTTTTCTGATGGGGACCACGAAGGGAGTAAAACAAGATTTACTCACGAGAGAAGCGGGCCAGCGGTCTAGCATTCTTGTCGCCAGCTTCATTTGCAACTGGAAAAAAAATAAGAGGATACAATTTAAAATAAAGCACGTGTCCACCAAATATACCTCAATACAGCCAGTCCCCTGGATGCTTTGACATCAGGCAGTATTTAAGAGTCTTTGTAAGTGAATAAAAGCAACTTTACTCTTTCTATATTTCCAAGGCTGCCCTCAATACCTAAATGAAGTCAAATGTCTCAATCATTTTGATTAGAATATTTGGATGGAGCTAGAGAGATCTCAACAACATCCAGTTTAGAAGGTCTAAAGAAGTTAATTGGCTTACATCCACTTAGTGAGAGGCACATGCACCAGATTCCAAGCTAATGGACATCCTTCGGCTTCAAGAGTCCTCTAATAGGGCTGTCTGTCAACACGCAAATACACCCCAAGCATTGAAATGAGTCTGGTTTTCTAGGATTCACAGGGGCAAAGCCGAGGCAGGAATTTCAGAAGATAAATATAAAGCTGGTTTATGTTCAGAAAGATAATAAATTTAGATGCTAACAAACAGGGAATTACATCAATAAAATTGTTCAGAAAACTGCCCTAGAAACTTTAACCCTAAAGCTTCTCAGCAGGGCAGGCTACTTCCCACGAAAAGCCTCCATATAATTTATCATTGGGTAGAGTCATATTTAATACCCTTTATAACTTATGAACCCCAATAAGGGTAAAAGAGATTGGTTATTAAGAGGAAACACAAGTTGCACTCACTTTAAATATGTTTTATTCCCATAAACATTATTTCTTGGTTGTCGTATGTATATATAATAGACACAGGTATTTGTAATCTACTTGAATGAACACCCAAAGCAATCAACAAGAAACACCTGTTCATCTAGCGCAGAAAAAGCATTCAATGCATAGACAAAAGAAAGGAGATTGCTAATGTAATCATGAATGTATGAGAAGTTACAGCAGAAGGGCAAAACTAATACAGTAACTGCTTCCTAAACTTATTACATTATTTTATGAATAATAAAGAGTCCAAAAATTCATTTCACCCTCTCATAAAAGTAAGCATTTTAAAATTTACTACCTTTGGATAATTTTAAAAATAGATTCCGTCTCAGTATCTTCTGTTTTTCTGGCATTACCATTGCCTCATCGTCTCCACTCTATTACTAATAAGATGTTACAAAAAAATGACCAGCGGCGGGGGGGGGGGGGGCAATACTTCAGCTCCCATCAACCGTCACAACGCATTTCAGAAAAAGAAATGATTACTACACTCTGCACCAAATACATTTTAAAAGATTTCCAGTTCAAAAAAAATCCAGTCATTCTAAGAGCAATGGCTATTTTCTTGCTGTCTTCTAAAATGTTTTGTAGTACCACTACACGAACATAAGTAATTCACACTCATATTTCTGCCTCCACGCAGGGCTACAAAGTATTTCAGAACAATGGTCAACTATCTCAGTAGAAGTCTAACCCCAACTGCATGTCCTCACATCAGGAAAACTTGGATGTTACCATAGCTAAGTATAAAAGACATCCTAGGAGCACCCAGAAAACTCAAGAGTTTTCTATAACCAAAGTTGTCTTATAATTTAAAAAAAAAAAAAAAAGGAAGAAAACAGAAGGGGAAGGAAGAAAAGAGGAAGAAAAAATGACCCCCAGATAGGTATAGACATGAATTTTCCTGGCCTCAAGTTCAACTTGTTTTTCCATTTAGCTACTGTAAGTATCTGAAGAAAGAAATACAGCTAGGCATAGTGGCTCACACCTGTAAACCCAACGCTTTGGAAGGCTGAGGCAGGAGGAATGCTTGAGCTCAGGAGTTTGAGACCAACCTGGGCAACATAGTGAGACCCTGTCTCCACAAAAAAATTAAAAACTTAGCTGGGTGTGGTGGTGTATGCCTGTAGTGTCAGCTACTCAGGAGGCTGCAGCGGGAGGATCACTGACGACCAGGAAGATGAGGCTGCAGTTAGCCATGATCCAACCACTGCACTCCAGCCTGGGCAACAGAACGAGACCCTATCTCAGAAAGAAGGAAAGAAGGAAAGGAAAAAAGGAAGGCAGGGAGGCAGGGAGGCAGCGGGGAGGGAGAAAGGCAGGAAGGCAGGAAGGAGAAAAAGAAATAGTGCCAGGGTTTTACCAGGACCTTTGCTGCAGAAACTTTAAAATAGCATTTTAAAATGGGATTACAAAGACCATTGCAATTGCTGAGAATGCAAGCAATCACCTAAATGTTCAGCTTGGTGTGCACATTCCTCCAAGAAGAAAAGAACAGGGACACCAATGTCGCTATTTCACATGCAGCAACAGCCACATCTTCATTCAGCCAGGCCCTCCCTGCCTGCTACCCTATTTAAGGACGGGAATTGCTGACCCAGATCCAAGTCATGCCAAGAAAGGCAAGAATCAGGATCCAGGCCGGTGGGGCACCAGGAGAGTTTACTCTATCCGAAAGGAATTTGAACCTCACCATCAGCATGATTTCCCTGCACACAGACCTGATGCCACACTCTGCTGCTGAAGGATCTCCTGCAATGCCGTAGACCCTACAGATCACAGTCCAGCTCACCTGCCCCAACTTATTCTCCCACCTCGTTTCCCAGAGCATCCTTCAGCACTCAGTCACCTGCGCTTGATGGACAATCCAACACACGCCCTTCACACGCTCTTCCTGCCTGGCTCTGGCTCGTGCTGCCCCCAGCCTTGGTGCACTCTTCCCTCATTTTCACCTGGCCAACTCTTGACTCCTGTATCCAGAAGGTTCACATTCCTTCTGGAGAGAGGAAACTCTCCTGGTGTTAATGAAGATTCTGCACCAAGTCTCCTCCCCAGCATTCCTTCCTGTTTTCCTTGCTATTTGCTCAGGCCTTTGCAAGTTGAAGATAAGATGAGGTGAGATCAAACACCTGGAGTAATTCCAAGCTTCACCTTCTGTAGTAACTAGAGAAAGTGCCTGGAACCTCATTCCAGTGCTCTCTTCTCTGAGAGTCTTTTACTCACTTTTTAAGATCCGGGTGGAGCCATTCACTTCCAAAACGCCTCCTCGCCTCACACCACACCTTCTCCATCCCCCAGATCTCTGCCCATATGCCTGACTCCCCTTCCAGACCTGCCTGTTCCTCTCAAACTTCAGCAGGCATCAGAACTACCGGTCAGGTTTCCTAAATACAGTTTCTAATTGGATGCATCTGGTGTGAGGCCCAAGCTTCTACAAGTCTGACAAGCTCCCCGGTGATACGAAGCCTGGTGGCCTGGGGACCATAAAAGCTACCCCCACGCCCCAAGGCAAGGATCATCACTTTTAATCGTTGTATTTCCATTCTTTTGAACAGTGACTATGCATTCAGTCAATATTTTTAGAATTGAAGTAGACTAAATGCCACAAACGGCTTAGTTGACCACACGTCTCTGACCGCCTTCCAGATGAATATAGAAAGCCTCAGGTGTGTTTTGTTTGGTCTCACAATGCTTTTAATTTTTAAACAATTGTCAGCCACATTTAAAAACCGAGAGACATCAAATAGAAATACATAATATTGGTTTCCTTCAATTAACTGGGGCGACTGGAACACAAGGCCCCCGTCCCACATGACAGTAATCAATGGTGGCTCCGCCTCCTGCATGTTCAGAATCCAACTCTACGCTGACTGTTGCTGATCTATATTCTCCGCATGCTCTAGAAGGCAGGTGAAAGCAGAACATCTTAAAGGGCTTAAAGAATGAAACTAAAACTCAGCACTACAAAAAGTGGCTGTAGCCTGGCTTGCCAAGCCCTTCTGTCCTCAGCACACAACCGCCCAGATGGGTATGACAGTCCACCAGCGTGCTGCAGGCCTGCTCGGACATACCCAGGCTTCTCCACCAGCACAGGAGTCCTCAAGCACTGCTGCTTGCCTTGCGTGTTTAAAAGCAGACAGCAAGCTTTCACAATAAAGTAGATTTCCCATTTATCAGGAGCAGTTAGAGCTTGAATGTGGTGAGATCTTATAAGAATTATTATGTAGGTTTATAGAAAGCTATCCATGCCATCCTGCTCACAAAACTCAGATTCTAGTTCAGAATGCATAATGGATTCTATTGATGTTGAGTTGCATGTCTAGGCTACATGTATATACAGGCACAGAGGGACGAGTGGAAGTGTGGTCATCAGATATGTTAACAGTTATTTCTTCTGTGTGGTGGCATTTGAGAAAATCTATAACTTTTGAAATACTTTTCTGCATAAACTCAATAGTTTATGATAAGCATGTGTTTATAATCAGGAAGAAAATGTTTTTATTAGCGGGTATAAAACAATTGGCTATTGCTGTCTTTCAAATATATATATTATTTCAGATGTGTAAGTATATGTGTGCATGTAAAAACTTTATACATACACATGTATAAATGTTTATACTATTTTTGTACATACACATGTATCTATACACATATTGTATATCCATGCATGCATGTAAAAAACACATATGTATATAAGATATATTTTAGATTAGGATTTACGAGGAGTCTTGGATCACAGAATCCAAGGCATCTGCCATCTCTAGTCTAAGAAGGCTCCTTGTAAGACCCAAGAAATGCATCTCTCACTCCTCTCTCCAGGGATCCCACGCATTACAGGTCAGTGGTTTGCAGCCCTGAACACACATTAGAATCACCCAGGGATTGTTACAAAATACTGATGCCCAGACCACACCCCAGACCAAGTACACAGGGCCTCTAAGGGTAGGACCAAGCATCAGTGTTTTCTAAGCCCCTGATCCCAGTGAGCAGCCAAGGCTGGGAAGCACTAATAAATGGCACAACTCCATACATCTTTAGCGAAGCAACATTCAGGGAGAAGAGTGTGGCTCAGATTCCTTCAAAAATCATTACCCCTATTCAGTTCTTCTTTTCAGGATGATATTGCTTTCTCAAAATCCTGAACCAAGCAAGGTATATCTCTGCTTTAAAAAAACTTCAACCATTAAGACGCAAACCTAACTATGGAGACCAATTAGGGGGCAACTCTTTGCATTGTGAAGGTTCTTTATAAAAGGATTCACCTC